AGTTTTAATATTATCAGCGTTATTCTTCTTATTATTTTATTAGTTCACTAGTGATAGCCTCAGATCCTTGCTTTACGAGACTTTGATCAATGTTATTATTACTTGTTTGCTTTAGAACAGTCCATATATATATATAGTTCAACAGTTCAGTTACGTAGTATTTTATTAGGGAACCAGTCTAGAACTTCCACACTACGTATTATTATTACCAATGAGCAGTCCAGTTATGTTCTAACGTGTTAGATACGGTCGTCTTCACTACGAAATCTCCGGAAAAAAATCAAGAACGCAGGTCGGTGGAAGGTTACCTCTCCTGGCGTCGAAAAAATGACCTTGCGACGAGGCTGAGGATCCGGCGCGACAACGTAGACGACAGTGAGCGGTGCCCAGCGGTTTCTTTCTCCAACAATATTCGGCCGAAATTTGCAGGTTGCAGCTCTCTTCCTTCTCCGGCGAACTCCGGCACCTCCTGCACGGTCAGCCCTTCTTCTCCTTCTCACGCTTCTCTCTATTTCTTTCTTTTCTCTCTTCCTCACTTTCTTTTCTCTCGTTTTCTCCCTGCAACGCAGGTTGCAGGTCGAGGGTTTTGTGCCGCATAGGTTAATCGCAAGGCTGCTATTTATACTTATGAGTCGAAGGTTCTGGGTCTCAAATGTTTAGGGTTTTATGTGACTCGATCAATCCGCGTAGAGTTTGTTGGCCGATCTTACCATATACGGAGTAGCAACGTGCATTAAAATTATTATTATTATATTATTAGCTTTACATATATATGGTCCAACGTGATATTTTAAGTTTGAAAAGTCAAACTTACCTAGTTGTATATGTGTGTCGTACATAGAAGTATATACGTGCATGTTTTCCAAGTTTTGCATGAATTGCATTATTATTATTATTAACCTAATAAATGTTATTATTATTATTTTTTTAAAAAAACGGGTCAACTTAATTATAAAAAATGTCACTTTCAATTGATCACATTTTATTAGATTCATTTTTCTTAAAATTTTCGAGGTGTCACATTCTACCCTCCTTAAAAGATGCTTCGCCCCGAAGCATAGGCTAATACCCTTCTATCAATAGGTACAAAATAACTAAGTGTTACATTTTACCCCCCTTAAAGAGAGGTTACGTCCCCGTAACTAAAACATTACCTTGACTAAATAGCTCAGGATAACGTTTTCTCATGTCATTCTCTGTCTCCCATGTGGCATTTTTAGCCAAGTGATTTGACCACAAAACTTTGACCATTTGAATAACCTTCCTCCGAGTTTCACGCGTCTTCGTGTCTAAGATTTTCACAGGCCTTTCCTCATACGTCAAGGTTTCATCCAATCCAATCACCTAATTCCATAAAGGGTTATTTCAATGTCTACTAAATCACATCCTAGCTATTAAAAGCGGGGTTCTTACCTCCGGGTTTAAGATGTGTCTCTCATCACGGACATACTTTTTCAGTTGAGATATATGGAACATGTCGTGTACCTTGCACACGTTAAAATGTTTCAGCCTTGTTTCCTTACTTGGAATAAGTTTAGAAAGAAAGGATGTGTTCCTTACCTTACTCAATTCTGTGGGTAGAGCCAATTTGTAAGCCACTCTTCCCACCTTCTCTAGAATCTCGTAAGGTCCGATGAATCGAGGACTTAGCTTTCCCTTCTTCCCGAATCTCATAACGCCTTTAATAGGAGAGACCTTGAGAAGTACTTTCTCTCCCTCCTCGAATTCAGCTGGGTTTCTCCCTAGATCCGCATATGATTTTTGTCTATCTTGCGCTGCCTTCATCCTTGCCTGAATGAGTTTGATCTTCTCCATCGTGTCTTGCAGGTATTGCGGCCCTAAGACAACCTGGTCTACCATATCGCCCCAACACAATGGACTTCGACACTTTTGACCGTATAGAGCCTCGTACGGAGCCATCTTAATGCTCGCGTGGTAACTGTTATTGTACGAGAACTCTATTAGGTCTAAGTGTTCGTCCCATGATCCTTGCAAGTCCAGCACACAGGCTCTCAGCATATCCTCAAGTGTCTGAATAGTCCTCTCGGTCTGACCGTCCGTAGTAGGATGGAATGCAGTGCTCAGCTTCAAAGTGGTCCCCATAGCAGCTTGAAGTTCCCTCCAGAATTGGGATAGGAATCTGGAGTCTCTGTCAGATACAATATCTCGGGGTACGCCGTGATACTTCACCACATGTTTGATGTAGGCTTTCGCTAGCTTATCCATGCTCTAAGTTTCATTCATCGGAATGAATCTGGCGGTCTTGGTCAATCTATCAACAATCACCCAAATCTTATCTTTCCCGGACTTTGTGAAAGGTAAACCCCTGACAAAGTCCATCGAGATAGAGTCCCACTTCCACGTTGGCACCTCCAAGGGTTGAACGAGTCCCTTGGGCTTGCACCTCTCGGCTTTCACTTTTTGACAGTTTAAGCATCGTGCCACGAACTCCGCCACCTCGTTCTTCATTCTCGGCCACCAGAAGTTTTGCTTCAAATCTTTATACAATTTGTCTCCTCCCGAGTGTACCGAATAGGGCGTGTTGTGTCCTTCTTCCATGATTTGCTTTTTAATGTGCTCACACTTCATCGGGACACACCACCTACCCTTATAACGGATACTCCCATCTTTATGCAATCAAAACGGTTCGTTTTCCCCGTCCTTTATCCCGGCCTTGATTCGCTCAAGCTTCACATCTCCTGGGTGACCGGCCTTTATTTCATCAAAGATAGAGGGTAAAATGGTCATAGTGTATAACCGGATCTCACCCTCTACTTCACCATGCTCCTTGACTTCTAAATTCAGCCTTTGAAACTCCCGGTACATCTCTTCTGGTAGTATCCACGCTGCTCAGCTCGTGTGTTCTGTTTTTCGGCTCAAGGCATCAGCTACGACATTGGCTTTTCCCTCGTGATATAGGATCTCCAAGTCGTAGTCTTTAACAAGTTCTAGCCACCTCCTCTGTCTCATGTTGAGTTCCTTCTGTGTAAATATGTACTTTAGACTCTTGTGGTCCGTGAATATCTTGCATGGCGGTCCGTACAAGTAGTGCCTCCAAATCTTCAAGGCAAACACCACCGCAGCCAACTCCAGGTCGTGGGTTGGATAGTTAACTTCGTTCACCCTTAGTTGTCGGGATGCATAAGCTACTACCTTCCCGTTTTGCATCAGTACACAGCCCAGTCCATTCTTGGATGCATCGCAATAGATTTCAAATCCATCAGTTCCCGATGGAAGTGTCAGTACCGGTGCAGTCGGCAGTCTTTTCTTCAGCTCTTGGAAGGCTTTCTCACAATCATCCGTCCACTGGAACTTTGTGGTCTTCTTCATCAAATTGGTTAATGGTCTAGCTATCTTGGAGAAATCTTTTACAAATCTCCGATAGTAGCCCGCTAACCCAAGGAAACTCCGCACTTCCGTAACAGTAGTTGGTGCTCGCCACTCGGTTACTGCTTCGATCTTCGACGGATCCACAGATACCCCATCTCGAGTGATGATGTGACCCAGAAATGCTACTCGGTCTTTCCAAAAGTCACACTTGGAAAGTTTGGCATAAAGCTGATGTTCTCTCAAGGTCTGCAAAACGAGCCTCAAATGTTCTTCATGATCCTTCTCGTTCTTCGAGTACACCAAGATATCATCAATGAATACCACCACAAATGTATCAAGATAGGGGCGAAATACACTGTTCATTAGGTCCATGAACACCGCTGGTGCGTTGGTTAAACCAAACGGCATCACAATGAACTCATAGTGCCCATATCTCGTACGAAATGCAGTCTTTGGTATATCCCTCTCCGCTATCCTCACTTGATGGTAGCCGGATCGAAGGTCAATCTTGGAAAATATACCCGCCCCCTTCAGTTGATCGAACAGGTCATCAATGCGGGGTAGAGGGTATCGGTTCTTGATGGTAACACGGTTTAGCTCTCGGTAGTCAATGCACAACCTCAAGCTACCGTCCTTCTTCTTCACAAACAAGACCGGAGCGCCCCAAGGTGAAACACTCGGTTTGATATAGCCCTTCTCGAGCAATTCTTCCAGTTGTCCCTTCAGTTCTTGCATCTCCTTCGGAGCCATCCTGTACGGTGCCTTGGAAATCGGTGTAGTCCCCGGCATCAAGTCAATGGAGAACTCAACCTCCCGTTCCGGAGGCATCCCCGGAATCTCTTCTGGAAACACGTCGGGAAATTCACTGACCACAGGAATCTGATCAGTCGTCTGCTCCTCATTGTGGGTTTCCTTCAGCATGCATAGGTATGCTTCGCATCCCTTCCGGATGTACCTCCTAATTTGTCGCATCGTCATCAACTTGGCACCTGGTTTGTTCACACTTGCCTTGAATGATACTCGCTTCCCGCTCAGGCTCTTCATGATCACCTTCTGCTCGTTGCATAAGATCTTCGCCTTGTAGCTCCCGAGCCAATCCATGCCCAACACCACGTCGATGTCTTCGAGGTCAAATTGCACCAAGTCCCCCGGTAGACTGACGTCGGCTATAACTATGGGTACATTCATGTATACATTTCTACAAGCTACCACACTATTATTTGCAGTTTTTACATTCAATTCTATGCTAGTTGCAGGTTCTATCTTTAACTTCTCAACAAATTTAGAAGAGATAAAACTGTGAGAAGCACCAGAATCAAATAGGGCATAAGCAGGAGTGGTATTAACATGAATGGTACCTGCCACCACATCGTGTGCGCGGGCTTGGGCCTGATTCATTACATAAATCCGACCCTGATTGGGAGCATTAATATTGTTGTTTTTGTTGTTGCCTCCTCCCTGATTCCGATTTTGGCCCCGATCACCGTCTCCTGCTCGATTTCCTGGGTTGTGGCTCAATTATGCACCAACCAACTTAGACTGTTATCGTCTTTGTGACAGAATTTCTCCCTACGACCTATTACCTTGTGTTCTCATCCCTTCGGAAAAACTAAGGTCTCTGATACCAACTTGTAACACCCCCAAATTTTCTTTCCAAAATAATACTTAAAGAAATAAACTTTTATTATTTATTCAGAACTTTCAAATTGTTTGCAGCGGAAATAAGCAATAACAAGAATAAGGGGCGTGTTACCGCCACACCCAGCCTAAACTGACTGGATGCTAAGGCTATCCACCATAAATGTATCTAAAGCAATTACTAAATTCAACATTTGAAATAATGAAATCTAACAGAGTTTATTCTAAACGAGGCTACTCTAAAAGTCTTCTAGGAGCGCTCTCAAGGCATCAATCTTCATATATCACCTCATCTGTAGCATAAGAAAATGAAAGAACAAATAACACAAAAATTAGCTTTCGCTAAGTAAATCCCACCCAACCCCGTAAAATAATAGTTTTGTTGAAAAATAAGCATTTGTATATAATATATACAAAAACGAGTTTCCAATAATTTAGTTTCAAAAAGAGTGATAACATTTTCAAACAAGTTCCTTCAATAATTCTTGTAAGTATTCCAAAGAAAAATTCTCCAAGTACAAAAATATTTGTTTTTCCTAAAAATAGCTTTATAGCTACTCCTCCTAGTCATTTAGACGGGCGGTGCTCAAGCGTTACCTCGATTCCTGAGCCCAGTGAACCGTTGTTTTGTACGGTCACTTCGATCTCCTCTCGGTACCTCATCTCCTCTATTAGAATCTAGACTTCTACCTTAAGTGTGCACACCCCCTAAAGGGATTCCAAGCCCTCTGAATAGTACGAAGTCTAAGTAGTTCTGACGTCAACGTCTCCCTACTCCAAATGGGATATACTCCCTAAGTTCTGGGTTCAAAGACCCTTAAGAGAATAGGTACTACTACTGCTCTAATAAAAGGGATCTAATGCCCAATTGCTCGGGGTAATTACCAAACCCTCCAACTTCATTTAATTTACTTTAAACCTCTCAATTCAAGTAGTAGTAGTCCTAACCCTCCCTCACCATTAACGGACGTGAAGGTGGCCCGACACATGCGGATTTCTCCCGCGGTGCCCCAATTATGAAAACAGTCTTTTATCTTGTCTTTTCAAAACTCAATATTTATGTCTCTTGGACAGAATTTCACCACAAGGATTATTATCCTTAAATTCTTAACTTTATATCTTCCCAAAATATCTCATGTATTCATATAATCCAATATATCTCAAAATTACAGCAATACAACTTGTTCACAAATTCATCATTCAAAATATTCATACCATCATCACATATCAAGCAAATAATTATTTACGAGGAAAAATATAATTTTGGTTGCAATGTGACTTACCTCAAATTGCATATATTCCTAAGAAGCTTCTCTAACGGCTTCCCCTCCCAGTTCTCCTTCTACTAAATTAAAATTCCATAGTCAATATTCATTATAGATTATAGTTTAATCGCCCTACCGTTTTCCTTTAATTATTCCTTCCTAACCATTAAATCACTTTATTCGATATACTCAATTTTATTTAATAACAATTATTAGATTAGTTCATCTATTCTAACAAGTTTATCTAAACCAGTCTTCTTACTTTAACCGATCCAGTAAACCATAAAACATTTACTAGCTTATTTTATTTTATTCGATTTATTTGAATCCGAATAATCTAATGTTATTATTAGTCGGTCCATACATAGTTTTATTATAATAGTTCAACACATCCAGATTAAGTAAGATCAGTAAATGGCCATTATTTAACATTACTTTGGTAGTAATCGATCATTTCTTTTTATAGCCAAAAGTCAATCCATTATTATTATACGTTCTTTTATTTTAGTATACTCCAAATGTTCATTTACTCAATCCGGGATACCTAATAAATAATAAACACTCTGTTTAAAAAAGTAAACAGTCCAATTATAATAATCCATCGGTTATTACTTTTAATGATCCATAACTAGAATTTTCTTAACCAGTTATAAGTTTTAATATTATCAGCGTTATTCTTCTTATTATTTTATTAGTTCACTAGTGATAGCCTCAGATCCTTGCTTTACGAGACTTTGATCAATGTTATTATTACTTGTTTGCTTTAGAACAGTCCATATATATATATATATAGTTCAACAGTTCAGTTACGTAGTATTTTATTAGGGAACCAGCCTAGAACTTCCACACTACGTATTATTATTACCAATGAGCAGTCCAGTTATGTTCTAAAGTGTTAGATACAGTCGTCTTCACTACGAAATCTCCGGAAAAAAATCAAGAACGCAGGTCGGTGGAAGGTTACCTCTCCTGGCGTCGAAAAAATGACCTTGCGACGAGGCTGAGGATCCGGCGCGACAACGTAGACGACAGTGAGCGGTGCCCAGCGGTTTCTTTCTCCAACAATATTCGGCCGAAATTTGCAGGCTGCAGCTCTCTTCCTTCTCCGGCGAACTCCGGCACCTCCTGCACGGTCAGCCCTTCTTCTCCTTCTCACGCTTCTCTCTATTTCTTTCTTTTCTCTCTTCCTCACTTTCTTTTCTCTCGTTTTCTCCCTGCAACGCAGGTTGCAGGTCGAGGGTTTTGTGCCGCATAGGTTAATCGCAAGGCTGCTATTTATACTTATGAGTCGAAGGTTCTGGGTCTCAAATGTTTAGGGTTTTATGTGACTAGATCAATCCGCGTAGAGTTTGTTGGCCGATCTTACCATATACGGAGTAGCAACGTGCATTAAAATTATTATTATTATATTATTAGCTTTACATATATATGGTCCAACGTGATATTTTAAGTTTGAAAAGTCAAACTTACCTAGTTGTATATGTGTGTCGTACATAGAAGTATATACGTGCATGTTTTCCAAGTTTTGCATGAATTGCATTATTATTATTATTAACCTAATAAATGTTATTATTATTTTTTTTTTAAAAAACCGGTCAACTTAATTATAAAAAATGTCACTTTAAATTGATCACATTTTATTAGATTCATTTTTCTTAAAATTTTTGAGGTGTCACACTAAGGAGGTCCCTGGTACTCAGAGCCCTCGGCCAATCATCTACAGCTGAGGGCACCTTTTCCGACATAATATCCGCTCCACATGCGCAGGGATCACCGTACCAAGTACGACGTCCCATCCAACAGCCGCATTAAATGCGGCCACATGCGATTGCCAGCACCAACCAGTTGAGGTGACCCCTCAGCCAATGGATGCTTGACACGTGTCCCTATCTGGCATTTATTACTACTATAAATAGCACTCCATCTCCCCATTTGTAACCCAGAAGAAACATACGCTCACTACTTTCTCAGCAATATAATCTCTCTCTTACTTTTGCTCTGACTTCTCTCTAATTATTCTCCGCAATAGCTCCTCGGATAAGCTACCCCCCGAGTACACTATCCATCAGCAGTCAAACGATTTTCCGAAATGTACTGCGCTGTTTAACTGCGCAGTTATCTTCAAAAAATCATTTGACTGCCTTCCCGGTTGAATTTTCAGCTGAAATTTGGTATGAGTAAACTAGACTTAATGAAGAAGATGATCAAAAAATGTCATCAAAAAATCCCACCGGGAAATTCCCCAATTGGCGACGGCCGGGCAGAACCTCCTATATAAGGGGCTAATTGAACACTTTGAGTTAGTTCATGTACCTATTTGACCTTTTAGCCTAATAAATTTGTCACAGAATAATTATTCAATTACATTCAACTTATCTAAATCTTGAATAAATAAATTCACATTATTAACTTTTAAAAATAAGTGTCGGTCGTACTAACTTTAAAGAAAAATAACAAGATATGACACAACACATGCAATGGAGTCGTGTCCAAATGTCTCAATGTCCTGGCTCCAGCTTGCTTATCGTATTCACCTACGTGTTGAGGAAAAAAACTACACACTCAACAATAAAGTTGTTGAATGGTATTATAATATAACACGTAACAAACATATAAATTCATTTTTTTGCAATAAAAATTCATATTTATTAGTCGAATAATTGACAACAAAATATTCATATCATCACACGTAATATACATTATTTTACACATATTGCACACTATCACCATAGAGGTCAAATCTACTGAATATTACCTTTTAACATAATATAATCATACTTGTAAATTTGTTACCAACTAAGTGGTTAAAATAAATCATAAGATATTAGTCAGAACTTCATATTCAAAAATACCTATAAAGATTTCATATAATCTTTACTCAACGCTTCTTTTTACTTCAGATCATTACATTATGTGTTCATCTTGTCAAATCAGATTAAGGTAATTTAGTTTCACCTAGAAGTAAACAGAAACACATATCCTTTAAGGAAAATAATCATATATACTTCTTGTTCAAATTCATAAACGAAGGATCCAACTTTATCAATATTTAATTCTTTAATGGATATATGTTTCGGTTTACTTCATAAAGTTGGATCCTTCGTTTAACAAGAAGGATCTGAATGTTTGTGGACGAGCTTTGCAACAATGGGGATGAGGTTTAAGAACAGGGTACCAGATTCGCATTGATGAGTGTAGGAAGAGACTAAATTGGCTACGCGGACGGGCTGATAACAGAAGTCGCTTGGAGTTTCAAAGGGTTAAGGCAAACTACTTAAATCTTTTGGAAGAGCAAAATACATTATGGAAGCAACGATCTAAAGAGTTTTGGCTAAAAGAGGGCGATGTAAATTCTAAATTTTTGCATAACGCAATCACACAGAGACGTCGGCAAAATAAAATGTTGAGTTTAACAAGCTCAGAAGACGGGTGGATTGAAGACAAGAAGGAAATGGAGAAAATAATTTATGATTACTTTGAGACTATTTTCTCATCATCTGCACAAGCTGGGTGGAACTTTCAACTGGGTAATCTGCGAAAGGTGACTGTGCAGTAGAAGGACCAATTATTATGTCCTTTGCGAGGAGACGAGATAAGAAAGGCGGCTTTTGGTATGTTTCCAGATAAATCTACGGGACCGGATGGGATGAATCCATGCTTTTTCCAACATTTTTGGAGTATTGTAGGTCCTGATGTGGTTTGTTTCTGCTCTGGACTTTTTAACGAGGGCAGAGTGCCAAAGGAGGTAAATATCACAAACTTAGTTTTGATCCCTATAAAGTAGAATCCTCGGGATATGGGGGATTGGAGTCCCATTGCACTTTGTAATGTAATTTACAAAATATTTTCTAAGACTCTAGCTAATAGAATGAAAAGAATTCCGCCCACTCTTATATCAGAAAATCAAAGTGCTTTTATCCCTGGACGCAGTACACTTGACAATGTTTTGATTGCTTTTGAAACACAACACTATCTTAAATGAAAAAGTCAGGGTAAGGAGGGCTACGTTGCTCTAAAACTCAACATGAGTAAAGTTTAAGATTGAGTTGATTGTGATTATCTTCAGGCTATTATGCTTGATATGGGTTTTGCAGAGCGATGGGTGAACTTGATCATACAATGTGTTTCAACTGTTGAATATTTTATCCCGTTTGACAAAACATTAATAGACCCGATTCGACCGAAACGAGGGATTAGACAGGGGATCCTTTATCATCATGTTTATTTATTTTGGTTGCCGAAGGATTTAGTTCATTGCTTATACACGAGGAGTCTCAGGGGCACTTTACTGGAGTGGCAATTGCTCGGGAAGCTCCAAAGGTAACTCATCTTTTATTCGCTGATAATAGCTACCTTTTTTCAAAGCCCGAGAATCTGAATGTAACTCTATAAAGTGAGTTCTTGGACATTATGAGATTTTATCAGGCCAAACTATTAATTTCAGCAAATCGTCGATTAGACTCAGTGCTAATGTGCAGCAAGATTAACGTGTGCAACTCGGGAGCAGATAGGAAATAAACTTAGGGTATGAGGTTGACTCATATCTTAGCGTAAAAAAGATATATTACCTCCCTCCCACTAAGATTTGAGACAAGAGAAGGTTGCACGATTTTTAAGAAAAGTGGGTTTGTGTGGTTTATATTAAATTGGTAAAGTAAAAATAAAGTAAAAATGATTTAGAACCACATAAACTTTACCAAATTTGGTATGGACCAATCTTAATGGGATTTCCCGAAAAGGTAAAATGGGACAATCTTAGCGGGACGCAGAGAGTACTTAACTATCTTAAGGAACCGATAATTAAGAGAATTCAATGTTGGAATCATCGTTTCTTGTCTCGAGCAAGGAGAGAAGTATTACTAAAATCTGTCATTCAATCAATGCCTACATATACCATGAACTTATTTCTTCTCCCTGCAGAGATGTGTGATGAGATCGAGAAACTTATGAACGAATATTAGTGGAAAGGGATTCAGTGGAGGAATGTGTATACCAAAGAAGCAAGGGGTCTGGATTTTCGAAGATTACGGGAGTTTAACGTGGCTGTGCTGGGAAAACAAGCATGGAGGCTTATAAAAGAGCCTTATTCATCGGTGAACAGAATTCTTAAGGCACATTACTATCAGTCATTTTTTTTGGGCAAAAGTTGGAGCAAATCCATCATATACGTGGCAGAGCATTATGGAAGCTAAAGAAGTGGTCAACTTGGGAACTATACGAAGGGTGGGGGATGGAAAGGAAACCATGGTGTGGGGTCATGTGTGGTTTCCTGGGAAGGGCGATGGGGTGCGAGATATGAATGTGGCAACACTTCTCAAAGAAGATGAGAAGTCTTGGAACTCTCCTAGAATCAAGGAATTGTTCAATGAGGAGGATGTTAATTAAAACTTTTAGTTGGGTGGGTGAACCGAAAGGTGGATGGGTTTTCTGTCCGTAGTTGTTATCGGTTGCTTGTGGGTGAGGCAAGTTCGACAGGATGGGTTGGATGGACGAGGATGTGGGATTTCCATTTACCTCTTAAAATAAAATTATTTTTTAATTTGGGCAATTAATGAACGGGCTACTTCTGACTAATGATCATCTCAGGAAGCGAGGAGTAGGAGTTGATCCCCTTTGTAAAGTCTGTGAGAAGGAGGGAGAATCGAGCATTCATCTTTTTAGGGACTGTTTAATTGATAAACAGGTTTGGAACGATGTAGTATTTTTATTACTATGTTATGGAGCTTATGAAGAGGTCCAAATGCAACGGTGTGGCAGCGACATAAACTGGGGAATATCAGACCTTTTAGAATTGCGGGACAACCCTTTTCAAGGAATGGCGTGCTGCCCAGATTGCTAGCAAGAAGACAGAAGGCAGTAGTGTAGGGAAAACATGGTTTTTCTTTTGTTCTTTTATTTTCCGAAATTAAGAAATTGGAAGAAGGAACTTGACAAAGAACTGGCACGGGTTCAGTCAAAGTGTGTGCACCGCACACTATCCTTAAAACTAATTCACTGCCTCCCACGGTGCTAGGAGCGTTGCAGTGTCAGTTTCCAAGGATACGATGAGTAACGAACAACTCTATTGAGCACTCGATAGGTTCTTCCGGTGAACTGGAACAAAGGATAGAACTCGGGGAGTTTTATCGGAAGTTTGGCAAAGTTTTCTCTCTGAAGACTATGCAAACGAGTATTTTGTGTGCTCAAGTCGTGTGTTCTCTCTTGTTGTTGTGTCACTAATGTCACCCCCTTAATTCAAAATTTGCTGCCAAGCTTTTATTGGGGAGGAGGGGCCTTTTTTATTAAATATGCATTCAATAACACACTTATTGTGTGAAACATCCCATCAAACACACAATTATTGTGTTGTAATGATTTTGAACGTTTCAGACCATGTAATTAAACCATATTTTAATCACATTTTTCAGTTTCTAACCGTTAGGCAACGTTCAAAACTCTAGCACTCTAACAGTTCGATGAGAGGTTAGAACGACCATTATCCAACGGTTGTTCTACCTTCGGAAATTTCCAACTTCTCCATCTCAACAAGTGAACTTCAAGAATCAATTTCTAATTCACTCATTATCCATTTTGAGTGTACCACATATCGAATTGAACCCCTTACAAAAGGAGAATTCGAAACCACTTTGACCTGACTCAAATTGAAAGTAGGTCTCACTAAAAATACTGCTAAAAATTGCCACTTAATGCAATTCTTAATACAATTTTCCAACGCTAGAGGTTTGAAGGCAAGAGAAAATGGCAACGGCCATCAAGGGGATGCATAAAAATCGACGTCGATGTAGTCTTGGATATGCAGCGGGGTTGGTGCGGTTTAGCAATGGTGGCTAGAAGGGAGAATGACAGTTTTTTAATTGCAAGAAGGGAGGCTCATGCTGTTAACTGGGAACAAAAAATGGCTGAGGCGATGGCTGTCTGAGAGGCAATTAAATGGGCGGTAGTTCAAGGATGGGAATCGGTGGAAATCGAGACAGACGCACAACTAGTCAGCGCCGGAGTTGCTTCGGAGTCGGGTTCTTCATTTTTTGATATTCTTATTGATGATATTAGACAAATGATAGCTTTACAAGCAATTTTTTTAGTCAAATATGTTGCACGATATGCGAATCACGTAGCTCATGTTTTAGCACGAGTTGCCGTTTCTATGTCAGATTGTAAGGAATTTTTTAATTCTCTCCATGAATGTATTGTGAGCCCTTTTGGCTAATGACTTAATTGACTGATGAGAAGTTAGTTTTATTTATAAAAAAAACATATCACTTTGGTGATCTTGTTTTTCGGTTTGGCAACCAATTGTTTCATTAAATACGTAACTTTTAATTTCGCGCGCTGAATTGTGTAATAATAAGAAAAAGTATGGTTGAAGTTATTATAAAATATCATTTTAGTTATTTTTCATATAATCTGTTTTATTTTATTGCTAAAAAATATTTTAAATATAATTTTTCATAAATCATCATAATAAGACAATTCAACTACCTCAGTCATAACTTCATAAATGTTATTCAAATCTGTCGATTAAGCCAAATTGAGTCTTACTAATCTATCTTTATACAAAAGCAGGAGAAATTTGACCATTTTTCCCGCCCAAAAATGTCATTATCAAGTGTAAAAGTGGGTCCATAGTGCATTGCATTCGTTGGTCAATAGGTGAATCATACAGTTAGAAAAGATACATACAGAGTACTCCGTATTATTTTAGGTGATATATAAGTTGATTTGATGTGTTAGGTGGCTATATTTTGGGGCTATAGTGTAACACCCCGCCCCGTAGGACCCGAGGTAGTTACTCCAACACACCTTCCACATCTCTAGTACAGTCCTCACAAACCGCCACTAGCCTTTTCCGCGCACTTTGTCATCACTCGTGCGCACCCTGAGAAACTTCCCAGGGGGTCACCCATCCCGAGACTACTCCCATGCAAGCAAGCTTAACTTTACAGTTCTTGAGTGATGAGCTATCTTAAAAGGAGATGCATCTTTTTGGTATGAGTAGTACTATTAATCCATTTAAATTAAATCTCAAGTGTTACAATCACCCCACTTAGGAACGCAACGTCCCCGTTGCTCCCATAAACCAATCTCAAATCTCAATCAAATCCCAGAATCCTCCCCCGCTAAGTGCCCACCCGATATCCAACGGGTCAGCACACTGTCGCAGGGTTGCACTGATACCATTTGTAACACCCCGACCCCATAGTCCCCGAGGTAGTTACTTTTGACCTCTAGTACTGTCCTCACAAACCACCACTAGACTTTTTCGCTCACTTTGTCCTCACTCATGCGCGCCCTAAGAAACATCCCAGGGGGTCACCCATCCCAAGACTACTCACGTGCAAGCACGCTTAACTTTGGAGTTCATGGCTAATGAGCTCCCTTAAAAGGAGATGCACGTTGTTTGTATGAGTAGTACTATTAATCCGTTTAAATTAAATCTCAACTATTACATGTTCTGTCCACCATTGAATAAGAAAATCACATGATTGGTTGACCAATTCTCGGGTAGGGCAAAATAGATCCCAATAAAATAAATTTTTTTATCCATGACATGCCATTGCATTGTAATGCACTCCTCTCGGCACAACTTTTATTGAAACTACGGAGGGCATTGAGAGCATTTTATCAAACAGTAAATATGCATAATTAGATAGTACCTTAACTATTTAATATAGATTTGTCTCCATTTAATTTAACAACATTGAATATAGCTAGTCAATTCCTTCAAAATAAATATTAATCCATGTTCTATTCTCAATTTACCACAATTTGTGGTATCAAATATAATAAAAATTAGAAAATAATTTCATAAAGTATAGTTAATGTGGCTTAACTTGCAGATTTTTTCTATAACGCAATCAAAAAATACAAAGAAAGATGACCTGAGCATTTCATCAAACACTACATGTGCATAATTAGGGAGTAACTATACTATATAACATAGATTTAGCTCCATATAACAACATCAAATATAGCTTGTCAATTCATCCAAAATAAATAAGAGTCAATGTTCTATTCTCAATTTACCACAATTTGTGATATCAAATACAATGAAATTAGAAAACAGTTTCATAATATAACAAAAATCAATCAAGTTAAATTTAGTCACAAACTCAAACAACAAAAAATGCAAAAGAATAAAGTATGATGAAAGTGGAAACAATAAGTTCAATGGGAATCACAACCTCAAATTGGAAATTGGAAATCAGAGGGAATGAAAACACCTACTATAGAAAGGTTTCTAAACTCTTATCATTTCTGGAGAGGAAGAAGAGAGATTTCTGAACGGAGATATTCGGCTGCAGGCCGAATATCTGATGAAGGAGAGGAGAATATCGAGTGAACAAAATCTAAAGTAAGGTATTTCTGATGAGGAAGATTGAAGTCTGGTTCTCGATGAAGGTAATAGATGAGATGTAGAAATATGTGAAATGGTGTGGGCCTGTGGGGAAATGACGATAGATGCGTTAAACAAACTTGAGGCGTGGATATGGGTGAGTGGATCGTGCGACTGAAACTTCAGAAGAGCAAAGAGAGCCTACCTCTGAATCGCAACACAGATGAGCAAGATGACTTCAGAAGAGAGAATTGGTGAAGAAGAAAAGTGGAAGTGGTAGGGAAAACTGCAGTCAATTTTTGGTACAGAAAGAAGACAGAAGACAGGGTTGGGAGAAGTCGGCTGAATAGGAGAAATGTGGAGCCTAGAAAAGTGTAGCAGAGAAATTACATTTTAGGACCATGGATTTAGGCGGGAGAATCTTTCTCTCATGAGCGGGCTGGCCAAAAAAGCTTCTTATTAAGTAAGCCTAAGTTAGTAAATAATTTATTCACCTTGAACTACATGACAATCCACTTTGAAAAACACACATAAGCATCAAAAACTGTTTTTACAGGTTGTATATAGATTCTTGATGTTCTGTTCTGTCCACCATTGAATAAGAAAACCACATGACTAGTTAACCAATTATGGGGTAGGGCAAAATCGATCCCAATAAAATAATTATTTTAATCCATGACATGCCATTGCATTCTAATGCACTACTCTCGGCACAACTTTTCTTGAAACTATGGAGAGCATTGAGAGCATTTTATGAAACAGTATATATGCATAATTAGAGAGTGCCTATACTATTTAACATAGATTTGTCTCCATTTAATTTAACAACATTGAATATAGCTAGTCAATTCATTCAAAATAAATATTAATCCATGTTCTATTCTCAATTTACCACAATTTGTGGTATCAAATATAATGAAATATAGAAAATAATTTCAAAAAGTATGGTTAATGTGGCTTAACTGAAAAGGTTTTTCTATAATGCTATCCAAAAATACAAAGAAAGATGACCTAAGCATTTCATCAAACACAACATGTGCATAATTATGGAGTAACTATACTATATAATATAGATTTAGCTCCATATATCAACATCAAATATAGCTTGTCAATTCATTCAAAATAAATTACAGTCAATGTTCTATTCTCAATTTACCACAATTTGTGATATCAAATACAATGAAATTAGAAAACAGTTTCAAAATACAACAGAAAGCAATCAAGTTAAATTTAGTCACAAACTCAAACAACCAAAAATGCAATAGAATAAAGTATGATGAAAGCGGAAACAATAAGTTCAATGGGAATCACAACCTGAAATTGGAAATTGGAAATCAGAGGGAATGAAAATACCTACTATAGAAAGGTTTCTAAACTCTGATCGTTTCTGTAGAGGAAGAAGAGAGAATTCTGAACGGATATATTCGGCTGCAGGCATTTGAACTCCCATGCTTTCTGATAGAGAAGAGGAGAATATCGAGTGAACAAAATCTAAACTGAGGTATTTCCGATGAGGACGATTGAAGTCTCGTTCTTGATGAAGGTAATAGATGAGATGTAGAAATATGTGAAATGGTGTTGGGAAATGACAATAGCTGCGTTGAACAAACTTGAGGCGTGATATAGGTGTGTGGATCGTGCGGCTGAATCTTCATAAAAGCAAAGAGAGCTTACCTCTGAATCGCAGCACGGATGAGCAAGATGACTTCAGAAGAGAGAACTGGTGAAGAAGAAAAGCGGAAATGGTTAAGCAAAGTTGAAGTCAATTTCTGGTGAAGAAAGAAGAGAGAAGACGGGGTCGGGAGAAGTCGGCTTAATAGGAGAAATGTGGAATGTAGAAAAGTTTAGCGGAGAAATTACATTTTAAGGCCATGGATTTAGGCGAGAGAATCTTTCTCTCTCATGAGCGGGCTGGCCAAAAAAGCATATGATTAAGTAAGCCTAAGTTAGTAAATAATGTATTCACCTTGAACTACATGACAAACCACTTTGAAGAACACATAGAAGCGTCAAAAACTATTTTTACAGGTTGTATATAGATTCTTGATGTTCTGTTCTGTCCACCATTGAATAAGAAAATCACATGATTAGTTGACTAATCTGGTGTAGGGCAAAATAGATGCCAATAAAATAATTTTTTATCCATTACATGCCATTGCATTCTAATGCACTCCTCTCGGCACAACTTTTATTGGAACTATGGAGAGCATTAAGAGCATTTTATCAAACAGTACATATGCACAATTAGAAAGTACTTATACTATTTAGTATATATTTGTCTCCATTTTATTTAACAACGTTGAATATAGCTAGTCAATTCATTCAAAAAAAATCCATGTTCTATTCTCAATTTACCACAATTTGTTGTATCAAATATAATGAAAATTAAAAAAAACAATTTCACAAAGTATAGTTAATGTGGCTTAATTGGCATATTTTTTCTATAATGCTATCCAAAAATACAAAGAAAGATGACCTAAGCATTTCATCAAACACTACATCTGCATAATTAGGGGGTAACTATAATATATAATATAGATTTAGCTCCATAAAACAACATCAAATATAGCTTGTCAATTCATTCAAAAAAATAAGAATCAATGTTCTACTCTCAATTTACCACAATTTGTGATATCAAATACAATGAAATTAGAAAATAGTTTCATAATATAACAGAAAGCAATCAAGTTAAATTTAGTCACAAACTCAAACAACAAAAAATGCAATAGAATAAAGTATGACGAAAGCGGAAACAATAAATTCAATGGGAATCACAACCTGAAATTGAAAATTGGAAATCAGAGCGAATGAAAATACCTACAATAGAAAGGTTTCTAAACTCTGATTGTTTATGGAGAGCAAGAAGAGAGAATTCTGAACGGAGATATTCGGCTGCAGGCGTTTGAACTCCCATGCTTTCTGATAAAGGAGAGGAGAATATGGAGTGAACAAAATCTAAACTCAGGTATTTCTGATGAGGACGATTGAAGTCTGGTTCTCGATGAAGGTAATAGATGAGATGTAGAAATATGTGAAATGGTGTGGGGAAATGACGATAGATGCGTTGAACAAACTTGAGGCGTGGATATGGGTGAGTGGATCGTGCGGCTGAAACTTCAGAAGAGCAAAGAGAGTTTACCTCTGATTCACAGCACATATGAGCAAGATGACTTCAGGAGAGAGAACTGATGAAGAAGAAGAGCGGAACTGGTATGGAAAATTGCAGTCAATTTTTGGTGAAGAAAGAAGACAGGATCGGGAGAAGTAGGCTGAATAGGAGAAATTTGGAGCGTAGAAAAGTTTAGCAGAGAAATTACATTTTAGGGCCATGGCTTTAGGCGGGAGAATCTTTCTCTCTCATTAGCGGGCTGGCCAAAAAAGCATCTGATTAAGTAATCCTAAGTTAGTAAATAATGTATTCACCTAGAACTACATGACAAACCACTTTGAAGAACACACATAAACATCAAAAACTGTTTTTAAAGGTTGTATATAGATTCTTGATGTTCTGTTCTGTCCACCATTGAATAAGAAAATCACATGATTAGTTGACCAAATCTGGGGTAGGGCAAAATAGGTCCCAATAAAATAATTTTTTTTATCCATGACATGCCATTGCATTGAAATGCACTCCTCTTGGCACAACTTTTATTTAAACTATGGAGAGCATTGAGAGCATTTTATGAAACAGTAAGGACCTGTTTACTAAAAGATATATTTTCCTATTTTCTACTTTTGTTTTTCGTTCTCCAATTTTCTGTTTTTATTTTTCGGTTTTTCTATCTCTAGTTTTCTGTTTCTATTTTCTAGTTTTCCATTTTCAAATCTAAAAACATGGTCATCAATTTTTTCACCCAGTTCTGTGATCATCCAGAAGACTGACACGTTTACTTCACAAGTTACTAAATGGTGCTTATTAAGACTCGTGTTAATAAGCGACAAATAAAATAAGCAATGCTTTAAGATAATGTTTACTTCGAAAGGTTTAAAACACCGTTTAACATTAAAATGTCCAAAATAACCCTATACATATATAGACACACAAACATTCATGTACACAAATATATAATATAATATGTGGGGTCGATCACCTCGTACATGTATCCATACTCCTAACTCATACCCTGCTCCTATACCTCGTACCCCCACCCTACACCCTACACCCAATTCCACACCCTTGACTGTGACACTCCAAAAATTTAAATAAAAATAAATTTTATTAGTCAGATAAGTCAGATAAAATGTTACGGAAATAATATTTTAATTTTTAAGTAAGTCAAACAAAAATTTAACAGTTGTGACATTCTAACCAGATAAAAATTTAACAGTTGTGACATTCTAACCAGATAAAAATTTCCAAGTTTACGACGTTTTAGTCAGATAAAAATGATCCGATAATAGAAGTAACGTTTTAGTATAAAATTAACTTTTATATATATCTATTCTAAGTTAAGTATCAAATACATAAATACAATAATATAATAAATAAAATATAATAGAAACCTACTTCTAAAATACCTACGTATAATATACTCCTAAGATATATAAACTACGTAAGTACGTAATACTAATATATAGAAAATATACTTCTAATAGTCTTAGAGGTGCAAAAGAATCAAAACTCCAACTCCAACTCTAACACAGCCTGAAGCCTCAATCTTTCCCTATAAATAGCAAGCCAAACCTGCGATTTTATTCATTCAAACCTGCGATATATACGTATATATATATATATACGTATATATATATATATATACGTATATATATATACGTATATATATATATACGTATATATATTTATACGTATATATATACCACGTATATATATACGTATATATATTTATACGTATATATATACGTATACATACATATATATATATATATATTTGACAATTCGTTTTAGCTAGAACCAAGCCCTGAAAACACTCTAGAAACCTTCCCCTTCGTGAGACGAATCCAACGGTGAAAGAATCGTAGAAAACGGTCGTGAAACGAGAGAGATATCGCTCGCCGGAGTTGCAAGTTGTGGAAGCGGGTCTTTATAAAAATCAGATATTTTGCCGTAGATAGGGGTGGAGGAGCTTCGTCTCACCGCAAGGATCATTTTGCAACTTGAATCGTCGAAATCCCTTATCTGTAAGTCAAGTTATAGCTCGCCGGAGTTTTCTAGTTTCCGGCGAAGTCGTCGGAATCACGACCTGGAGAAGATGACCCAGTTGTCTGGGTCAGAACTCTTGGGCCGGGTCGGTTTAATGGGCCAGTTCGGCCCAGTTTTAATAAAAATTATATTGGGACCAACCAGAATTGAAAAATAATATTTTTAGCTATTTTTAATTGATTTAATTGTAATTGGGCCAATTTGTACACATTTAGAAAATAATTAACTAATTGACGAAAATAATTATGAAATAAATATTGGAGTAAACTAGGATAAATATATGACTAACTAGGACCTTATGGACCATTTATAATTAATAAATATTAAGATTTAGTATATTTAATTGTAATTGAACCGGTTAATAGATATATGAAGTTAAATGAATAATTATGGAAATAATTATAAAATAGATATCTGGACAACCTAGGTCAAATATAGACCCAAATTATAGTTATAGACGGTTATTAATTTATAAAGTCGATTCTTAGTCTATTTATTTAAATTAGGCCATATAAAACTAGTTAAGTAATTAAATAAGGAAATATTAATATTAATGGTGAAATAAATAAATCACTGAGATTGAAAAATAATATTCTGGACTAAAAATGATGTTGGAATAAAATAAGGAAAATAAAATAAGGATGGGTTAGCTAGCATAAATAATTGACTATATGTAGACTTAATAAATAACTTAGTTATGTAATTAGTGGACTAATTCAATTAATAATTTTCATGATTAATTATTAGATATTCGGACTTCATATAAATATTTAAAATATTTGAATTCATAAATTAATGGGTTAATATAAATAAAGTAATTAGATAAAATTTATGAGTAGAGTAAATTAATGGTGATTATTGAATAAAATTTGGATGTTATAGTTAATTATATTCGGATATTTTATTTAATATTAGAATTCAAATATTGTAATTAATGGCTGAATTAATAAGGTAATTTGATTAATAAAAAGTGATTAACCAAAGTTATTGCGAATAGTAAAATAAAAGGAGAAAATCGGGTAAAGTAATTACAAATAGAATAAGTGACTAATTTATCATATTTAATTAAAAAGGTGATTATCTAGAGACCGGATTAGAGGAGGATAACTAGGAGCATCAGGACTTAAGGTAAGTTTCTCTGCCAATCCAAAATTGTTTCCTCGTATTATATGCTTATTATGCATTATGTGATTAAGTGTGATTTGTGAATTTTGTGTATGTGATTTTGAGAAGATATTATATATATGGTGGTTAAGAAGTATAAATCAAGTACTTTTGGGGTATTAAATATTTTTAAATACCTTCGAGACTTTTTAGAGAAATTAAGAAGTATTTTTGAAGTATTGTTAAGCAAAGATAAAATTTACATTTTCATAAGAAGTGAGCATCTCGGGAGTAATCCGAGGTGTCGGTTTTTCCACATCCGGATAAATGTGGAGGGTGATTAGAGCTACTACTACTAAGAAGCACAGTTTAAGTTTCAAGTGAGATTTGGATCTATGATCCCTTTTAAGTAAGATTTGGATCTATGATCCCTTTTAAGTGAGATTTGGATCTATGATCCCTTTTAAGAAGAAATTATAGTAGTAGTCTATAATCATTCAAGAATTTTAGAATTGGGGTGGTTGGGTTCCGACCACTCGGGATGACTTACTACTCGGAGGGCTTGAAATCCCTTTTAGGGGGTGTGCACACTTAAGGTAGTCATTTCGTTTCCGCAAGAGCAGTTGTGGTACCGGCACTTGTTCGGGGTGGCCGTCCGTAACCACAGTCCACCGGGCTCAGTCGAAAGATTGAGCACCGCCCTTCTAAATTACTAGGAAGTTAGAGAAGAAGTGATTTTCTTAAGAAGTTTAAAGAGAAGAAATACTAAGAGATTTTCGAAGAGAAGTTGAGGATTTTAGTAAAGAAGCAATTTTAAGAAAAATCAAAGAGAAAAGTATTTTGGTGGAGTGCGTCATTTTTATATGATATTATATAAAAATCTATTTTAGTCAAACCTGATTATTTTACGGGGTTGGGTAGTACTTACTTAGCTCTAAAGCTAATTTCTGTTATTTCTCTTGTCTCTCTCTTCTCCCTTAAATTTTATCAGGTGATGAGTTGGATGCCTATGTGGATTGATGGATTGCTCGAGCTTGAGTGCGAATCAGAAGATGCCTTAGTTAAATCTAGTCATGAAATAAACATTTACTTATTATTACATTAGTTTTTGTTGTTTTACTTTGAGTTGCATGTGCATTCGGTTAAGAGATGACCGAATGTGGCGGTAACACCCATTTTCCTATTTCAGACTTCCGCTGTATTTCTTCAACTCTTTGATGAATGAATAAAGTATTCCTTTTAAATATAACAATGTTTTGGGCGGGAAATTTGGGGGTGTTACATTGACCCCTACCCCTACCCTTACCACGATCTTACACTCTACCCATACTCCCCTAAAACCCTTCATACCCACCCATACCTACTCGTACGGGTCGGGGTGGGGAAGGAAGGTATGGGTGGGTGGGGGTAAGTGGGGGTGGGGTAAGGGGTATGGTCGGGGTGGGTGGTAAGGTCTAGGGGTACGGGGTTGGGTGGGGTAGTGGGTGGGTTAGGGTGGTGGTTAGGGGTAAGGATGGGGGTAGTGAGTAGGGTTGGGGTAAGGTAGGGGTAGGGTAGGGAGTTGGGATAGGATGGCGGTACGAGGGTGGGGGTAGGATGGCGGTAGGGTGGGGCCGAGGTAGGGGTATGTGGGAAGGGGTAAGGTAGGGGTAATATACGAGGTGGGGGTAAGGTAAGGTGGGTCAGGGTGGGGTTGAGGCGGTAGGGGTGTCGGTGGGGTAGGGTGGAACGGGGTGGGACCGAGGTAGGGGCATGTGGTAGGGGTGGGAGTAGGGTCATTGTAGGGAAAAGGGTATGCAGGGTGGGGGTTGGGGTGGATAGGGTAGGGGTAAGGGGTAAGGTACGAGGATGGAGGTACTAGACCGGACCCATCACTAGGTGTAAGTATGCAAACTCATTGGAGCGACCTGTAGCATTTGCGTTTTCCAAATTTGGAAAACTAGTTGATGGAGTATATGGCCCAGGAACCGCCGGCCCACATACTCCTGCTACTCTGACTCAGGTCCAACAAGCCTGGGAAGCATAACGGGCCCAAATCATAGCGCCCCAAATATCAAGGAGCCAACGTTGCACATATGGACGCCTTCGGCCCCCTAGGCCGAAGGCTCGAAATTCCACAGGACAGCTTGTTTTGAGCATACGAAGCTACTGGGAGAAAACGGCGAAATCAGTAGCCTCCGGCACTGAGAGGCCCCCGGTATGAAGAGCCTTCGGCTTATCATCTACATCCGAAGGCTCCTTCCTCGACAGAATCTCCTCTTCACATGGATCTGAATCACCGTTCCAAGTACAACGTCGCATCGAACCGCCGCATTTAATGCGGCCACATGCGAGTGTCAGTGCCACCCCGATTGAGATGACCCCTCGACCACCAGATTATTGACATGTGTCCCTATCTAGCATTTATTGCT